TGACATCATCTCCTCTTATTCCTCTCCACGTTCCCTTGTTCCCCAGACTGGCGGAGTCTAGGTGCTTGTTGCTGGGATGGCTTGTTCCAGTTAATATTCATGGAGGTTTGAACTCAAGGCCTGAGCACTGTCTCTGAGCACTTCTGCTCAAGGCTAGCGCTCTACCACGTTGCGTTACAGTACCACTTCCAGTATTGAGCCAGCTTTCAGCCTGGCTCTTTGCAGGTTAGTTGGGAGATGGAGTCTTAGGGATTTTTCGGCCCGGGCTGGCTTTGAACTGCAATTTTTGCCACAAAAACCCTTTATTATTTCCAATTAAAGCAACATGGAGATCAAGTAGAATAAGTACAGCTTACCTGGTTCTTATCAAGAATTGACCAACAAATATTCTGCAATGACAAAACTTGTTAGATGTGATGAGAATTTCTAGCACAAATATGGTATTGATTTCTTTCTGGTAACCCTAACAGTGCTTAAGTTAACCAAAGTTACAGAAAGAGCCTTAGCTTTTGCAAATCCAAAGCCATCTTTCACCAGGAAATCAGCAGCGTGTGATGGAACCAAGCGAGACTCCAGTCTACTTTCACCATGGTGGAGGTAGTCAGGATGGTCTAGGCAGGAGGGAGGCCTGTCCTCCAGGTTGGAAGAGATGGACTGGATCTGGACTGCATGTAGACTGGCTGGCACTGAACTACGACTCCAAACTGAACAATCTCAGACAGTTTAAGCCAAATAACTTGATTACAATGCCAGATAACAAGTTTACACAGACACAGACATACACACATACTGTGCGCGCGCATGCATGCACACACGCGCACACACACACACACACACACACACACACTGTGTACATTAAGTTTTATAGTGCCCCAAAATGAATAATGGCCATAGATTCTTGGAATTCCAGCAGTAAGATGACATTATTTTCCAATATTTTAGAACCACATAGTCAGTACTAGAATATACAACACCAAACAAAAAAAGGCAAAACTCAAAACCTAAAATTTTTGACAACAATATTTAGACATCTTTGCTAACAAAGCAGGTGGTTGGGCCTCAGTTTCTAGGGCCTGTGAAGAGGCAGCAACTTGTTAGAATGGGTGGGGTAGTAAGCTTGGTGGAGGGTTAAGGGTCAGATGAGCCCAAACCCTTAACCCACCATGTGGCCAAGATGGAGAACTCAAGATGGTGAATTTCTGAAAAAGTGCAAAGAAAACCTGAACAAATGGAAACTCTGACAATGTGCAAACCTAGAGTGGCTAGCCTCTGAGAGGGAACCTAGAGGGGGGCTCCAGCCTGCATCGCATCTTCAAGGCACAATCCAAAATGTTGTAGAAAAGATAAAGGGAGAGATAGGGAAAGCTGGACATAACTGGCAGAGAGAGAGCAAAGAGAGCCTGAAAGTAAACAGACTTCTGACCATTTACCATCACAGTGGCAAAAACTGTCCACATCTGAGAATGGCATAAAAATTAGGTGCTCTGGCTTTCCAGGGAGTGCAGGAGGCATTTCAAAGGGGTTTCACGGCTAGGGCATGACTCACAGCACCCCATTAAATGTGTAGGAGAGTCAGTCTGGTGAGTGAAGAAGAGCTGACCAGGCAGAAGTGGCATCCTGACTTCCCCCAGAGCCCTCTAGAGAGAAATGGCCAAGCCTCCAAAACCAAGCATCCTTGGCTTTGGAGGTGACCTGCCTGTAGGAGCTCTCTGGTGCACATCTGCAGCACATCTGGACAGAGACTGAGCAACAGAGAACCAGAGAGAGTAGTTTCACTCACCAGAGTAGAGAAGTGGTGTGGATGTGGATGTGAAGGCAGCAATGGTATTGGTGAAAAGTCTCACACGGAGTCTCAAGGCAGTTCAGTTCACAGAAAAGGGGTGGTTAGGAAATTCTATTTCCAACTCAAAAACCCCATCCATGTGTAAGGTATATTAACTAGGTAGGTTTCATTAGGTAGCTGATGAAGAGAACACCGCCCCAGCCTGCATGGTGGAGGAGCATGGCTGAAAAGGAAAAGGGGGTGACCCATCCCAGGACAGGACTTATCTAGACCAGGAACAGGAAGAGGTGTGGCCAGGTGGAGGAAAGGTGTGGCCACACTGGATCAGGGTGTGGGACCCTTCCTAAGGTCAGATGGGAGGCATGTGATCAGAGGTGGCCCAGGATGTGACCTAGGAGGAGGAGAAGGTGACTGCTTCCAGGTCTGCCAGTTACCTAGGTAACAGATACTGGGCAGAAACTTAGCCAAGAGGTAGGGAGGTGTCCCTGTGCAGACCTTATAATCACCTCCAAAGGATTATGTGTCAATAGCTGAATTTTTCAGGGGACACACATTCAGCCCATCGTCCCTCGGACATGCTGGAGACAGGAGCCAGTCATGTGTCATCCAGGTTTTGTCAGATCCAGGGCTTGTTCAGCCAATGGCCTGAAATATGTATTTTGTTCTTACACATGGGACAGTGACACTGGAGTGCTCCTGAGTACCTCTCAAGCAACAACAACAACAACAACAACAAAACAACTCAGGAGTTCTTTGCAGACCTTCAGCCCAGAGATAGATACCAGAGCTAACTCCTCTTCCTCTTGGTCTATGTATTATATGTTGTCATTCAGAGAGGAAGAGTGAGGTCACAAGACTGTTGGCTAGCTCCATCTTCCATAGGGCCTCAGCATTAAATAAGATGCTGAGCATACTACCTTATGCCTATAATCTCAGCTACTCAGCTGAACACTAGTGGCTCATGCCTGTAATCCTTAGCTACTCAGGAGCTGTGATCTGAGGATCTTAGTTTCAAGCCAGCGCTGGCAAGAAAGTCCTTGAGACAATCTTATCTCCAATTTACTACCAGAAAGCCAGAAATAGAGTGGTGGGTCAAGTGGAAGAGCACTAGCTTTGAGCAAAAATGCTCAGGGACAGTATCCAGCCTTCAAGTTCAAGCCCCAGGACTGGAACCAAAAAAAAAAGAGGAAGAGATCAGAGAGGATAACAGTTTGCATCCAACCTGGCAAAAATATAAGACCTTATAAGCACCTTTCTAGCAAGTACAAGGCTCTGAGTTCAAACTTCAGTACTGACAATCATAACAAAAGAATGTCTTTTGCTTAGAAGTATGCATTTATTTGTGTGGACACCCATGGCTCTTACTTGTAATCCTAGCTACTTAGGAGGCTGAGATCTGAGGTTTGAGGTTCAAAACCAGCTCAGGCAGACAAGTCCAAGAGACTCATCTCCAATTAACCGGCAAAATGTGGGAAGTGAGGCTGTGGCTCAAGTGATAGAGTTCCAGCCTTGAGCAAAAAGGCTAAGGGACAATGCTTAGGCCTTGAGTTCAAGGGCCAGTACTGGCTCAAGAGAACAAGAGAAATAAATCAAAACAAATGTGCATTGGGAATCACTTTCACATTTTGCATTTTCCTACTCCAACTTTCCTGGTCTTGCTCTTGTTTTGAGTACTCAGGGAAACCAGAATGTCTTTGCAGTAATATTTCAAGGTCCTTCTTTGTAGCTGCTGGTATTTTGTGCAGAATACTGGGACTTGAATGCAAGGCCTCATACTCTTTCTTAAGCTTATTCACTCAAGGCTGACACTCTATCATTTGAGCCACACCTCGTCTTCCAGCTCTTATTGATGGTTCAGTGGAGATAGGAGACTTTTAGATTTGTTTGCTCAGGCTGGCTTCAAACCTTGATCTGAAGATCTCAACCTCCTGAGTATCTAGGATTCCAGGTGTGAGTGGGCCCCAGCAAAGCTCCAGTGACATAGTACATGGTAGCATAATAGATAAGCCATATATGACAGACCTACGCAAAACTCTGGCAACTAATTCATTCTTTTATGGAAACACTTGCATAAAAACAGTGGTAGAGTGCTTATCTTGCAAGCATGAGACCCTGGGTTCAATTCCTCAGTACGACATAAGCAGAAAAAGCCAGAAGAGGTGCTGTGGTGAGTGGTAGAGCATTAGCCCTGGGTTGAAGAGCTCAGAGACAGCACCCAGGCCAAGTTCAGACCCAGGACCAGCAAAAAACCCCCAAACAAACAAACAAACAAAAACAGTCATTGATGTTTGAGTTTGCTTATACAGTACTTTTTGTTTGGCTTTGTTTGTGCCATGAGGGTTTGAGTTTGGGGATGGATGTACACTGGCTAAGCAAGTAAACTTCCATTTGAGTATGTTAACATGTTTTATGTACAGAGATATTTATGCTTAGATTCCATGTTTGAGATGAAAGGCACAAAGGACTTATTAAATTGGTCTACCTGCCAATGGGTTGGTTTCTAGCTGAGACCCCCTCTGATCCCAGTAAGTTGCCACCTCTGGGCCACACGGTACTGGACCGCTCCTTAGGTCTTTCCAGTTCCAGTGACTTAAGGTCAGACCCTGCTGGAGCTTCCTACCATCTGGTTTCTCTCTAAAAAGTGCTTTGGAAATGGAAAAGTACAAGTTTAACAGAACTTTCATAAAGATCTGAGGCCAGTCTTCAGTGGTTTATGCCTGTAATCCTACCTACTCAGACAGCTGAGATCTAAGGATCTCAATTTGAAGCCAGCCTAGACAGGAAAGCCCACAAGATTCTTATCTCCAATTAAACTTTTTTTTTTTTTTTTGTAGATCATGAGGCTTGAACTCTGGGTCTGAACGCTGTCTGTCTAGTGTTCTACCACTAGAGCCACTGTGCCACTTCCAGTTTTCTGAGTGGTTTATTGGAGATAAGAGTCTCTTGGACTTCAGGCTGGCTTTGAATTGTGATCCTCATATCTCAGCCTCCTGAGTAGCTAGGATTACAGGCACGAACCACAGGTGCTCCAATTAAACTCTTATTTCCCCAAAAGCCAGAAGAAGAATGGTTCAAGTTGTAGAGCACTAGCTTTAAGCAATAAGCTCAGAGACAATGTTCAAGCCCAGGACTGGTAAAAAAAAAATAGGGCTGAAATATATAAATATGGACACAGCACACAAAAGGCAAGATGTGAAATCTGAAATGAGTAGCTGACTAAAAGTATTTAGGTGTTTTATTGTTTTATAATCTGTTGAAAAAGACCACTATACAAGCATGTGCAGAGATAAAGCCCGAGTTTGTGGCAAGAGCTCAGGAACTGTAATTACTCATCCTTTGAAATGCATCAGATTACACCGTGGAAAAGTTGAGAATTTTGGAAAACATACCAGAACAACAGAAATCACCCACAATTCTATCCTCCAAAATCAATATTTCTGGTTGTTTCTATGCTTTAAGAAAAAAAAAATCCACTTGTTGCCAGTGCTTCATGCCTGTCATCCTAGCTACTCAGGAGGCTGAGGTTTAGGATTGCAGTTGGCAGACAAGTCTTCGATTAACCAGCAAAAAGTCAGAAGTAGAGGTGTGGCTCAAGTGGTAGAGCACGAGCCTTGAGCAGAAAAAATAAGAGGGTAAGGTCCGGAGTCCTAGCCTCATTACAAACACACACTCGCGTGCGTGCACACACACATACACATGCGCACACACACACACACACACACAAATCCTTAGTGTGTGTGTCATATGATCGATACCACACTAAATGTAGTCTTGTGTCCTGCTTTTTCACCTTAAAATTGCATTAGCGACATTTCTCTATGATATTAGAAATTCTTCATGCATGTGGGTGTCCTGACTCCTCCTGGTTCAGTCACACACTGAGGACTGCCGGCTCAGAGCAGGTTGGGCACCGGGCAGCCACAATGCAAAAGGAAAGGAGACACAGGCTGAGCAAGGCAGCAGATCCATGTCCACTAAGCTGGCCAGTTGGGCTGAGTTTCTTCTTGGGGATGGAGTTCCAGTGGTGAGTAGGTTCCTTGAGAAAAAAACAGGCATTTTCCCACTTCAAGCACAGGCTGGCGGTTTCCATTGATGCGACATCTGGCCCAGGCAACTTCAGGTCAGGTGGCTCTGACACAGAGGTCATTGGGATGGAGGCCACATTCTAAACAGGGAATGCAGGTTAGCGGTTTCTGTCTGCCCACAGGCTGCCCACCAGTGAGCAGGCTTCAGCCTCCATTAGTAGGAAACTGCTTTGGCTTTTTTTTTTCTCAGTGGCTGAGTGAGGATGACAAAAAGTAAAACCACATGACAAAAAGCAATCACCCCCAGAGAGTTGGTAAAGATGGCACTTTTAAGTCACCCGGGGCCATCCCACCACCAGCAGTCCCAGCCTTGGCCAGGCTGTTCATGTTGGTGTGGAACTGGCCAAAAAGGAGAGAGAAGACAGAGGTTTGGGGTGCTCTCGGTGTTGTTCTTTAGGCACCAGGTTTTCAGGTTCAAAGTGTACCTAGGTTTTCTTCCTCTAGAGAGTGCTTATTACATCATGGGATAGGCGATGACAAAATAGTTCAGCTCTGAATCGATCAGCTTTCTGTACCTTCTGTGAATTTCTCTCAGGGTCCTGTCCTCTTCATTTGTCTCATATCTGTTTGTATAAATTCTTACCTGCATCAATAGAGAAACACACACACATGCACACACACACACACACACACACACACAGGAGTGAGTACATCATTGAGGACCTGACAACAAGTGTGCAAATATCTACACACACAATTAGAAAAAGCCCAAACACAGCTAGAGTCATACACAAGGGATCCATTCCAGGACCTCCCCCTCAAATTCTAGAATCCTTGGATGTTTAAGTCTTTTATGTAAAATGATGTCATATTTACATATCACCTACTTGTGTCCCCCATGTACTTTATAAATCATCCCTAGATCACTTATAACAGGTACTACAAGTATTTACACATATATAATACCTGATAATAATGCTGTATAGTTGTTATTCTGTATCATTTAAGGCATAACAATAAGAGAGAAGGTCTATACATCTTCAGGACAGGCATAATCTCCCCGACCCCAGTTATTTTCTGTTCTTTTTTTGTTTGTTTGCTTGTTTGTTTGTTTTTCTGTGCTGATACAGGGGCTTGAACTCAGGGTCTCATTCTTATTTGACTGTTTGCTCAAGGCTGGTGCTCAACCACTTGGGCCACAGTTCCCTTTTGATATAGTGCTGGTTTTGGCATGTTGGTGGTTAACTCGAGGGAAGAGTCTCTCTGGTTTGTCTGCCTGGACTGTTTGCAAACACGATCCTCAGATCTCAGCCTCCTGAGTTGCTGGGATTACAGCTACCGGCACCTGGCTTCCCCAGGTATTTCAATCAGCAATTAGTTGAATCCACGGACACAGAACCTTTGGCCCAGTGGTACTGAAAAGAAGACTTCAAGTCATTTTCCCTCAGTGGGCATCGGGTGCCAATGGCTGTCCCCACTTCCCCCCTCATCTCTGACTTACCTCTTAGAGTCAAAGCTTTCTGTCCTAGAAGCCCTTACCTTAAGTGTGCGCAGGGCACATTGCCCCTCCTCCTGGCTTTTCAGGATCCGCTCCACAAACCTAACATCCAGGAAAGCCCAGATTTTGAAGTAGAAAAGCTTCCTGCAGGACAGGATGAGGAGGTGTAGCTCCTCATCGAGTGACTCGTGGTTATTGTTGAACTCAAAAGTTAATTTCTGGAAAATACCAAGAGAGGAGGCATGTGTGGACAGAGGAGCTGAGGCTGGCTGGGTCATTTCACGACATCTCCTTGACCTGGCTTTGGGTCAGATAGCTATGATGACTTGGTAGCTTTTTAGACAAGGCACTAGAGGTTTAGATCTTAGAAGAAGAGAATTGAGAATGACCTCACAAGTAGACATGCAGGTTTGCAAACCCCAGAATTTAAAGGCTGGAAGCATGTGGCTCAAGTGGTAGAGCATTTGTCAGGCAAGTGTGAGTTTAACCCCAATACTGATACAGGGAACTGGACACACAAGGCAGAGGTGAGCAGAGAGTGGGAATACATCAAATAGATGTGAATGAAATCATCCCAAATAACCCAGAAATGCTTCGAAACATCCTTTGTATGGATTGTCACCCCAGTTCTTTTTTGCAATTCTAACTAGTTCCCAAAGCATGTGCAGTTTTTCCATGACCTCCAAGTGCCCAGTAAGGGATTTTTTTTTTTCTATTTAGTAGCTCATGAATATTATTTGCATCTCATGTACCTGATTAAAAATCCAGGTATAAACATGAAGCAGATGCATAGTAATGGCTTGAGTTAATCTAGACTTGTTGGTCAAACTCTAATTTGCTTAAATACTCTCAATACTCCAAAATACTCCAAAAAATCCTCCATAGAGAATAAAAGGGGTCTTAAGGTATGTATGTGTGTGTGTATGCACACATGTACGCGTGCTTGTGTATATAGGGCTTGAACTCAGGACCTCATTCATTTGCTTAGCTTTTTTGCTCAAGGATGACTCTCTACCACTTGAGCCACACCTCTACTCCTGTGTTTTTGCTGGTTAATTAAAAAGTCTCTCAGATTTGTCTGCCCAGGCTGGCTTTGAATCAGTATTCTCAGATCTCAGATCCCTAAGCAATTAGGATGACAGGCATGACCTACCAGCACCTTTGAGTTCTCAATCTTTGAAAACTCTTCTTTGAAAATGCACTCCTTGCCTCTCAGATTAATTCTTTGATTTCGACTCAAGACAAGAAATAGAAATACTAGCACAGTTACCACAGGTAACTGGTACAGCCACAAAACAAAACAAAACAAAAGCCTAGAATTTGAAGGCGATGTATTAGGAGACCAAAGACCAGGGTGCTGGCCTCAGCCCTCCTGAAGTGGACTGATGACCAAACTTCAGTTCTTCTGCAGCACAAAGGATCCTCAACCATGGCTGCCCTGCATACCTCAGGCTTATGAGCACCCTGGTGTGAGCAGTGCTATTTGTGCCTGTTAGAGCTGTTTGAGAATCTTAGAAAGGACAAAAATCCTGGGTTTATAGGTGGAGAAGCTGCCCCAGTAAAGAATAGGCCCAGAACCTCCAAACTCTTCAGTGGCCTAAGTCAAACTTGGATTTTTACCTGGTTGGTTCTTTCCATTCTCCTCTTTCCCATTACCAGGCCCTGTAGTAAGTGGGTAGAATAGGCCCTCCTACTTAGCATACATAGGGTCTCCTGTGTGTGGCTCCAACCTGGTAGAAAGGTGGAAAGAGGCTGCTTACCTGCAAAGCATCTCCTGGCTCAGGCTTCGCAGCTCTGAGCTGATTAGAATAGAAGTCTCTTCTTTGGTTGACAGTCTACAAGACAATGCCTGCACCGCACATATAGGAAGGAAGCAGGTGTTTACCTGCCGTGGCCTTTGGTGCATTGGGGAGGGTGCCTTTAGCATCACTTCCTAGGACTTTGGTGTGGGATTGGGGGGAGGGGGGCATCAAGGAACAGGTGGCAGCTGGCTTTCCTCTAGAAATCTGCTCATCCTAGTGGCAATCACTCCCCACCAGCATCCAGTTCTCATTTCCTTCTTACCTGCAGAGTGTACCGGAAGGTGGGCAGGAGGTCGGTGAGAGTGGGCCGCATGGACCAGTCTGGATCACTAAAATAGCAGCTTCGGAGGCTGACACTCCTCACGGGAATCTCTTGCAGGAGGATCCGAACCAAACGCTCGTATTTCATGACCCGTTCAAAGAAGAAGTTCACCTTCAGGTTGTTGGCCTGCTTAGCCAGCTTGGCCCAGGACATACCCCAGACCACCTGCCCATGGGGGTCGTGAATGTGGCATTTGATGTTCATGGTCCCAAGGGTGCTGGCATTGTTCTCACCCAAGCTCTCCAGCAGCTCATCAGAGATACAGTTGTAGTTGAGTGTCAGGGATGTAAGGTTGCAGAATGTGTTCATGGTCTTGTGGAACTGGGGGCTGCTGTAGACAGCTAGATGGTGGCTGAAGAAATCTTCGATGTTAAGCTCCGAGGCCAGGCTCACATTCTTCAGGTAGCTCAGGGAGTTGAGGATGTTGCAGCCTTGCTCCACCGTCAACCTGGCCCCTTTCAGGCTGAGCTGATCCAGGTGTTTGCCCATCTTCTTGAGGAAGAAACTCAAGCTCTTGATGAGCGAGTTCCTGATACTGTTCCTCCAGACCAGACGGTCCATCTCCAGGTGCTGGATGGAGAGAGACTTCAGACGGCTGTTACTCTTGCCCAGGCATGCGAGCAGACCTCGCATGGTGATCTGGAACTTCTTGGTCAAGACGGCATTGTACGGATTCAGAAACTTGATCTCCAGATGTTCCAGGTAACGACCAAATTTCTTCACATACCACAGGGCGGACTCGAATTCCGACGCATGTGCCCTGGATGGTCTTCCACTGAAGGTGATGGTCCGGTAGCGCCAGAGGTCAGCCGAATACATCATCTGGTTCCATTTCCTGCAGACCAGGGCCGCCCTGGACCTGTCCCTGTCTCCCAGCCACCAGAAAACGCGACGAAGGCACACGTCGGGCAGGGAAGCCCAGCAGCTCTGGTCTTGAGGCTGGATCAGGTCACCTTCTTCATCCATCAGAGAACTGGGAGGGACGGTGTTGCTGCGTGGGAGCAGGGCTTCCAAGAGTGAGCAGAGAAAAGCAATCACCTGTTTTCTGTAGAGAGTGAAAAAGAAGAGCCATTACATGGCAAACAGATGAAACTCAAGTCAGTGAACTTCTGCCATCCTGGGAACACTGGGTTTGGCTTGTGCACACTGCAGGGAGTCTAAAGAGAGACCCATAACATAGCCCCCCATGGAAGGACTTCAGTCAACCTGGGAACACAAATCCAGCTACCCTCCAGGACTAGGGTAGCACAGTAGATGTGGCTAATTCTGTGGGAGTGAGGAAGGAGAATGGGCTTCTCAGAAGAGGTGAAAGCTGGTTGTTTTGTAGGGTAAGTGTGCCATGATGGTCTGGTGGTGGTAGAGGAAAAACTAATCTATTCCAGGCAGAGGAAACAAAAATTCTGGGCAAAGTCACAGAATTGTGAATGCATGAGTTGTGTGCAATATTTAGGGAAGTAGATACTACTTGGATGTCTTGAATTTGCAAATTTTTAAAATTAATTCACTAATTCATTCATTAATTTAGGTATTGGTACTAGAGCTTGAACTCAGAACCTCACACTCTTGCTTAGCTTTTTGTCCCCCTCAAGACTGGTGCTCAACCATGTAAGCCATACCACTTCCAGCATTTTGTTGATTGATTAGGGATAGGAATCTCTTAGGCCAAGGCAGAAAAGTCTGTGGCACTCTTTATTTCCAATTAACCAGTAAAAACCAGAAGTGGCGGTATGGCTCATGTGGTAGAGTGCCAAGCTTGTAATGAAAAAGCTAAGCAGGATTTCAGGGCTTTGAGTTCAAGTCCCTGTACCTGAACAACAACAACAACCATCCCTTGGTTTTGTCTGCCTTGGCTGGCTTCCAACCTTGATCCTCAGGATCTCAGCCTCCAGACCATCTAGGAGATGCTGAGCTGCAAACTGAATTTAACAAATGAAAAAATTGGGATGTCTCTCCAATTACTTGTAAACCTCCCAAGGGTGAGGACCATGCAGCATGAATCAAGGACTCATAGAAAGTGCTCTAGGAAAGCTAATTTTTTAAAAAAGAAAAGCTTGCCTTGAATTCCATCCCCAGTATGGTCAAGAGTTAAATGACAGCCCTGAGAAAGTTACAGGCAGGAAGAGTCATTAGGCATTTAAGAAGCAGGGATGGGGTTGGAAGAAGGGATATGTTTGGTGGGCTAGAGTTTAACAAGGAGCCTCCACATCATATATAATGAAGGAGATGAGCACCTGCTTCTTATGACGAGTGAGGAACAGGGTAGCTTGGAGGGTTGGGTTCAGACCTGTCACTTACTACCGTGTGACATTCATCAAGTTAATTCATTTCTTTGTGCTGTAGTCCCTCCCTCTATAAAGGTAGTATCTGAGCCAGACACTGGCGATTCACACCTGTAATCCTAGCTGTTCAGGAAGCTGAGATCTGAAGATCATAGTTTGGAGCCAACCCAGGTAGGAAAGTCCATAAGACTCCTATTTCCAATTACCCATCAGAATGCTAGAAGTGGAGGTGTGACTCTAGTAGTAGCGCACCAGCCTTGAGTGACAAAGCTAAGGAACAGTGAGCCTCAGGCCCTGAGTTCCAGCCCCAGTACTGGCACACAAACAAGTCTAGTGTTGGGAGCTGGTGAGGGGTTGCCTGGCAGGGGGAAATGCTCTCTCCTTGGGAACTGTCCTTAGTGGGCTTCCACACAGGACTTCTGCACCATCTCTGCGTTTCACAAATGGAGAAACAAAGGTGTTGCCAATCTGGGAAGGAAAGCTCAGGGCTGCGCATCACCACGAACGGGAGAACCTCCCGCCACGCCAGATGCTTCAGGAGGAGGCAGGGGGAGGAGGACAAGCAGCTCCAAGAGGCACTTGCAGCGCCCCACTACCATCCCGGCCTGCGCCCAGGGCACCACGCGCCGGCTTTCCACGCTAGCCCGTTACCCGCTTGCTGCGCCCTGATTGGGCCGCAGGGACCGCGAGCTGCTTGTTCCGCCCGCGCTGTTGCTCCGAAGCCAACTCTGCAAGCACCGAGTCTGAGTCCGGCTTTCTCGCCCAGATAAAAGCCTTGCACCCGGCCACCTTTGTGACGCCGCCACCCGCGCATCCCCACTGGGCTGCAAGGGACCCCAGCCCCAAGCTGTCAGCTCAGTTGGTGAGTGGGCGCAGGAGCCGCACGTGGAGTGTCCAGGAAGGGGTTTTGGCTAGGGGCTGGGGGATGAGCAGCCCGGTAAGCATGGCCCTGCGCCCGCCCCTGCGAAGAAGAGGCTGTGCCTTGAACTTGAACTCTCCAGCCCGAACAGCCCTGTCCAGCTTAGGGAGACTCAGCTCCTGTGCCTCCTCTTTTGGAAGACAGGTGCGATCTGGGCTGGGGCTCCGCTTTCCTTTCTGGAGACACCAGCCCCTGCCTGGGAAAGCCTTAAGCAAGCTGGAGTTGAACTTAACAAACTTAAGAACCTTCCCCCCTCCTACCTCTCCATTTGGGTGGGGCGTATCTTCCTTAAGCAGGCCAAGTAAAGGATTTTCCCAAAGCCCAGGCAGAAAGTTGAGTGTACTGTTTTCCCTCAGGGAAATTGCATCTCCCCAATTCCTCCAGGCTTCCTCCCCAATTCCCTTCGGAAAACCAGTGACCCTCCTCCCCCTTTCGCGCTTACATGTCCCTTGTCCACCAATCCAGCTTCTGCTCTCCCTCTCCCCACTGTTTCTCGCCTTCCTTCTTTTCTTCTTCCCCCTCTACTGTCTGATCTGCTGCCTGAACTGAGATCAATTACCCAGAAAACCAGTAAGCAATGCATAAAAATGATGAGCAGGAAGCTTTCTGGGAGAGTGTGGTTTTGTTTTGCTTGGCTTTAATTCTTCAGGAACCCAGCTGCAGGTCTCCTAGGCCTAATCGGAATCCAGAATTTTTCTCTCCTGGTCATCTTGGGGTAAGCTGATGCCTGTTCAAAAAGAAAAGAAAGAGTTCAAGGTTAAACCTTTTCTTCTAAAATCCCCTCTCTTTCCACAAGTAAAAGACCATCACAGGGAAGAAGCAGGAAAGCCATGTAAACAGGAAATCTAAATTCAGGATACCTTTTCTTTCCAAATCTAGCTGGTTCTTCACTTGTTTTTCTCGTAATGAAGCTAAATGTTGACATTTCACCTAAAGAAACACATATTTTTAAAGTTCAATATGTTTCAAGTGAGCATTGCTAGTTTGTTTGTTTGTTTTTGTCATAGGGCTTGAACTCTGGGCCTGGGCACTGTCCCTCAGCTCTTCAGCGCAAGGCTAATGTTCTACCACTTGAGCCACAGCATCACTTCTGATTTTCTCGTGGTTTATTGGAGATTAGAGTCTCAGGGATTTTCCTGCTCAGGCTGGCTTTAAACTGTGATCCTCAGATCTCAGCCTCCTGAGTAACTAGGATTACATGCATGAGCCACAGGCATCCAGCACTAGTTTTTAAATATCTCAAAGCTTGAGTGCTAGGCTCAGGTGCTCAGAGACACATGGGTGTAGAAATAGCATGGAGCCCATTGAGACAAGAGAGTATGGGAGGACAGGGCAGTGTTTAGAAGAGGTGGTCACCATCAGAGGGTGTACGAGAAGATGCCCACACCATAGAAAAACTGGGAGCCAAGTGGAAATGTGGCTCAAGTGGTAGAGCACCAGCCTTGAACAAAAAGCCATGAGTGTGAGATCCTGACTTCAGCCTCCAGTACCAGCATCATGATTTCTGTACCTTTTGTCTTATATGTAAGTGTATCTGATTTGTGAAGGGGAAGCACAGAAGTAAGATAAAAGGTGAGCCATTTCAGCAGTGATACTCACTAGACACTATGTTGAAAGTGACCTATACAACTTGTTGGGGAGAAAGGTTGGGATGGAAAAAACTTGGAGAAAATGAAGTAAAGATATGTACTCAAAAAAATGTACTCAATATCCAACTTACGTAACTATAACCCCTCTGTACATCACCTTTACAATAAAAATAAAAAAATGTAAAGTGCCAGCACAAAAGAAAAATATTGTCCAGCTTCCAGAACACTTGCAATAAACTAGCCTAGTACTCCAGCAATTGTATGTTAGCTAGGCATGGGTAGCTCATGCTGATAATCCTTGCTACTCAAGAGGCTGAGATATAAGGATTTAGGATTGAAGCCAGCTTGAGCAGTCAAATCCTTCAGACTTTTATAATTTACTGGCTAAAAGCTGGAAGTAGCTAAAAGCTGGTGGTGCATGCCTGTAATCCTAGCTACTCAGAAGGCTGAGATTGGACGATTGTGATGTGAGGATTGTGGTTTGAAGCCAACCAGAGGGAAAGCCTGTGAGACTCTTATCTCTAATTAATCACAGAAAAGGCTGAAAGTGTCCCTGTAGCTCAAGTGTTAGAATGCTAGCCTTGAGCAAAAAGGATCTCAAGGACAGTGCCCAGGACTAGAGGTCAAGTCCCAGGACCAGCAAAAAAAAAAAAAAAAGAAAGAAAGAAAAGAAGGAAGGAAGGAAGGAAGAAAGAAAGAAAGAAAGAAAGAAAGAAAAGTCAGAAGTGAGGTGTGGCTCAAGTTGCAGAGTGCCAACCTCAAGCAGAAAAGCTATAGGAGAACATGAGGCTCTGAGTTCAAACCCCAGTACTAGCAGGCACATGTGTGTGCATGCACACATACACCCACACACACGCGCGCACACACACACACAATTTCCAAACAACCACAATAACAAAACAGGGAACATATTGTTTTACTTGGGCACTTCTAAATTTTAATTTATTAAAATGCAAAGAAAAGTTCCAATAGTACTTCAAATGTGAATGTATATGGATAAATAATAGATTTCCTCCCTCAAATAATACAAGATGCCTAGTTCAGAGAAGGAAAAGAAAATGTAGCTACTCCTATAATTGTAGCCACATATGAGGCTGAGATCTGATGATCATGGATCAAAGCAAGCCCAGGCAGAAAAGCCCAGGACTCTTATTCCTAATTATCCAGCAAAAAAGCCGGAAGTGGAGATATGGCTCAAGTGGTAGAGGGTCAGTCTTGAGCTACAGAAGTGGAGTGAGAGTATGAGGCAATGAGTTTAGCCCCAGTACCAGCATAAAAGACTTCTGCTCTCTGAGCTTCTGCTGCCTTATCTATCCTAGAAGAGAGACTGACTTCATTCATTCACTTCCAAGCCTCAGAGTACTTGCTGTGGGTGACACAAAGAAACTAGATGACAAATGCTGGAAAGAAAGCACGTGGGGACACAAAAAAGGAAGAAGAGACAAAGAAGAGCTGGCCAGCTGCAGCATTTGTGCACACCTTGCACATTTGGATTGTGTGTGTGTGTGTGTGTGTGTGTGTGTGTGTGTGTGTGTGTACAGACATGCACCAATATTGGGGTTTGAACTCAACCCCTTAGCTTTTTTGCTCAAGGCTAGCACTCTATCACTTGAGCCAAACTCTGCTTCCTGCTTTTTGGTAGCTAATTGTAGATGAGTCTCATGGACTTTCCCGCCCCAGCTGGCTTTAAACAGCAGTCCTCAGATCTCAGCCTCCTGAGTAGCTAGGATTACAGGTGGGAGCCACAAGAACCAGGCCATGCCTTGGATTTCCAAAATCCAGGCAGTTCCCAGTGAGGTAAAGAGAACACAGAAGGGCTGGGAATGTGGCTCAGTGGTAGAGTGCTTGCCTAGCATGCATGAAGCCCTGAAATGGCACTATGGCTCAGGTGGTAGAACACTAGCATTGAGCAAAAGAAACTCAGTGCCCAGGCCCTGAGTTCAAGCCCCAGGACTGGCAAAAAAAGAAAAAATATATATAGAGAGAGAGAGAGAGGGAGAGGGAGGGAGGGAGGGAGAGAGAACACAGAAGAGGGTACCTGGTGTTTGTTTAGGGTAGGCAAGGGAAGCAGGATGGCACACTCAGAACATCTCCTTAGAATGTCATAAGCTGACTGCTCTTCTGTGGGAGAGGCGGCCCTCAGCTTAGGCTTAGACTTCAAAGGCAAATCCATGCTTCTGCTTTTGCTTCTTACTGTAGGCTTTGTTGAACATTTAGAGGGATGTGAACTGATGGTGGTTTTTTCCTTTGGACGGACATCTTTCTCTGATGTAGAGGTTTGTGTTCCATCAGCCTGACTTGGAAGGGATGGAGGAGAAAGTTTTGGCTTTCCAAGAGGATGGTGTTTCACAGACTCTGAGACTGGACAGCATTTACCCTGCAATTGTAAGTGGCACATCAACATTTTAAAATGACTTCAACTTTAATATAGTCAACCAAGTAACTGAACCTCCCATGTCAAGGATGGGACATAAATTAAATAGACGAATGTCTGTCTAGCAAGCTGAAAGTCCTGGTTCAAATCCCAATAGAAAGAAAGAAAGAAAAGAAAAACAGAAAAACTTACAAAGATACTTTAATCTTAGGTGAGACAAGTCAGGCAAGCCTGACATAATAGCTCATTCCTGTAATCCTAGCTACTCAGGAAGCTGAGGTGAGGAAGATTTGGGTTGGAGGTCAGCCCAAGCAGAGTCTCAAGCAACAGCTGGGTGTGGTGGTATACTCCTGTCATCTCAGTGACTGCAAGAAATATAACTGAAGTTCGGGTGCAAAAAGTGAGATCTTATCACAAAAGAATTAGTTCAAAAAAGGGATGCAGATGTAGCTTAGCTGTAGAGCACTTATCTAGCAAGTACAAGGCCATGAGTTCAAATCCTAGGACTGCCAAAAGAAGGGAAGTCCAGAACAAGTAATATTGAAGAAAGGAGACTCTGATGGGGCTGGGAATGTGGCTTAGTGGTAGATGCTTGCCACGCATGCACGAAGCCCAGGGTTTGAAGCTGAAATGCTGCTATGGCTCAAGTGGCAGAGTGCTAGCCTTGAGCAAAAGAAGCTCAGGGACAATACCCAAGCCCTGAGTTTAAGCCCCAGGACTGGCAAACGAGAGGGGTGGGGAGAGTGTCCAGCATAAAGGCTTGTCTGCCTAACACCTGAATGTGTGCCCACCAATTCCAAGTTGCTAATGTGCTATCACACAAAGATAGGGGACCTTAAGAGACGATGAGGTCACATGAGCTCCTCCTTCATTAATGGGATTAAGACCTTATAAAAGGGCTTTGAGCTGGATACCAGTGGCTCCCCCTGTAATCCTAGCTACTCAGGAGGCTGAGAGCTAAGGATTAAGGTTCAAAGCCAGCCCGAGCATGAAAGTCAGTGAGACTCTTAACTCCAATAAACTACTCAGAAAACCGGAAGTGGCACTGTGGCTCATGTAGTAGAGCGTTTGCCTTGAGCTGAAGAACTGAGGGACAGCACCCAGGCCCAGAGTTCAAGCCCCATGACCGCCAAAAAAAAAAAAGAAAAAATGAAAAAAGAAAAAAAAGGGCTTTGGCTGACATAGTCAAGTACCATTTCCTCTCTACAGCCAAGCAAGCTGGATAAAGGAGAGGCAGAGGGTAGGAGAGACCAATAATGAAGATGTACTCTCACCAGGTGCTGGTGGTGCATGCCTATAATCCTAGCTGAGATCTGAGAATTGAGGTTTGAAGCCAGCCCAGATGGGAAACTCAGTGAGACTCTTTCCTCCAATTAACCAGAAGGAAGCCTGACGTAGAGGTGTGGCTCAAGTGGTAGAGCACCAGTGAAAAATTCAAGCCAGAGCACAAGGCCCTGAGTTCAAACCCCAGTACCATCATAAACAAACAAATAAATAAATGAAAGAGGTTTCACTGCAGCATTGTGCTAGTTTGTCCATTTGTGGTCTGTCCTAGGAAGAGGAAGCAAAAAGGCTTTCAGGACACTAATTGCCAGCATCTTCACTTGAACTTCCAGGCTGCAGAATTGTAAGAAATCATCTCTGTTCTGTATGTTACCCAGACCATGGTTTTCTGTTACAGCAGTGCAAATGGACTAATACATGGTTTATGCACATTAGCTGATACTTTGGCTACAGGAAGAAACATGGGCTCAGTCTTGACTTGGTGCTTGAATGAGAGAAAAGTGTCCACACAGGTAGGGAATTGGAAATGAGATGCTTCTTCTCCTATACAACACTGGAAGGGATGGCGAATTATACATGTATTTTACAGCAAGAATAAAAAACAAGGCAAAGAATGTAACAAAGGATGAGGTCATCTCTAAGCACTGTCTTTCTCTGTCTCTGTATCTCTCTCTCTCTTTCTCTTTGCTAGTACTAGGGCTTGAACTCAGGTCCTCTAGTTCTCACTTGGCTTTTTCACTCAAGGCTGGTACTCTACTACTTGAACTGTGCCTCTGACTGGCTTTTTGCTGGTTAATTATAGATAAGAGTCTCATGGTCTTTTCTGCCTAAGCTGGCTTTGAATCTCAAATCCTCAGATCTTAGCCTCCCAAGTAGCTAAGATTATAAACAAGAGCCACCAGTGTCTTAAGGTATCTTTAGTTTGGATAGTCTATTTGTTGACTGAAGGGTTTGGCATGGTAAATAGCTCACCACCCAAAGAGGAAGAGCTTTGGTAAGTTTCCCAGAATGAAAATGCTCCATCTTATACCAAAACAGGGCCTAGCAAGGCACCAAATGATGCTTTGGGGGTGGTCATCATGGCTTATGCCTATGATTCCCAATGATTCTGGAGGCAGAGCTGGGAGGATCTCAGTCTGAGGCCAGCTTGTACAAATGCCTGAGATCCTATCTGAAAAGCAAACTTAAAACAAGCAGAAGGACTGGAGGTATGGTTCAAGTGATAAAGTACTTGCCTAGCAATCGCAAGGCCCTGTGTTCAATCCTCTATTCAAAGGAAAACATGGAAAAGGAAAGGAAAGAAATAGTGTTTAGGGCTGGAAACCGATGGCTCACGTCTGTAATCCTAAGCGCTGTCCCTCAGCTCTTCAGCTCAAGAGCTGTCCCTCAGCTCTTCAGCACAAGACTAGCACTCTACCATTTGAGCACACTTCCAGTTTTCTGGTCATTTATTGGAGATAAAAGTCTCATGGAGCCAGGTGCCAGTGGCTGATGCCTGTAATCCTAGCTACTCAGGAGGCTGAGACCTGAGGATCGCTGTTCAATCAAAGCCAGCCCGGGCAGGAAATCCATGAGACATTTTTTTTTTGTCAGTAGTGAGGCTTGAACTCTAGGCTTGGGCACTGTCCCTGAGCTCTTCAGCTCAAGGCAAGCGCTCTACCGCTTGAACCATAGCGCCACTTCTGGTTTTCTAGTAGCTTATTGGAGATAAGAGTGTCACAGACTGTCTTGCCCAGGCTGGCTTTAAACCATGATCCTCAGATCTCAGCCTCCTGAGTAGCTAGGATTACAGGTGTGAGCCACCGGCACCTGGCTCCTTGAGACGTTTATCTCCAATACCGACCAAAAAACTGGAAGTGGCACTGTGGCTCAAGTGTTAGAGTGCTAGCCTTGAGCTGAAGAGCTGAGGGACAGCACTCAGGCCCAGAGTTCAAGCCTCATGATTGACCAAAAAAACACAAAAAACAAAAAACAAAAACAACAATTAGTGTTTAGCGGGATGATGGAAGAAGTCTGGGAGGAGTCTAATACCAACTTCTCTATGGAAAATATGGAGAAGAAGCCACTGAGTTTTGCCAGGGAGCTCACAGAGAACTGTAATGCACGCCCTACCAAACTCCAAACAGCAATGCCTAGGTCTTGAAGGTAGGTGAGGCTCAGAGGATGCTCTTTGAAAGCTGGGCACCAAAGAAGACAAAGTATGCATGCTAAGTTCACCTTAATCAATGCATGAAAGCCCCTTTGGGAACAACTGAAAAAAATATACATAGACATACACATTTATATGTATCTGAACAGACAGATAGACAGACAGATGATTCCAAGCCAGCCCAGGCAGAAGAAATGAGATTTTTATCTCTAACCAGCAAATAGCTAGAAGTGGAAGTGTAGCTCAAGTGGTAGAACACCAGCCTTGAGTGAAAAAGCCAAGTGAGAATATGAGGCCCTGAGTTCAAGCCCAGGTACTGTATATACACACACACACACAGAGATGAATTGCTACTTACCATGTGGTGGATATATATATTTCCTGGAATCATTTGGTTGCAAGAAACACAGTGGATTTTCCTTTCAGATGGCACTCTTCTCCCTAAATAAGCACAGAAACAACACCATCTATAACTGTCCCTGGCAATGGCTGGCCAAGCTGTCTGTGACAGCCTGCATGACTTGAGTACACTCTTCCACCCAGCCTGCCTGGTCTAGAGTTTCCTGTAATGACAACACCCCTGGCCACACAGGCCAGTCTTGGCTAAGTCACCCACATCATGGCCTTTATGTCCAGAGGGGCAACACAGCTCAAGGCTAGCACTGTACCACTTGAGCCACAGAACCACTTCTGGCTTTTTCTGTGTATGTTGTATTGAGGAATCGAAATCAGGGCTTCATGCATGTGAGGTAAGCACTCTACCCCTAAGCCACATTCCCAGCCCAGAGCTGGTTTCTAAGGAGATGAAGCGTGTTGTGCCACAGAAGCCAAACCTGGCTAATCCAATGAGACTCCTTCTGCCCCTCTCCAGGTGCTGCCTTCCAGACAGGTGTTCATTGTACACATCCTTGTGTTAGAGTTGTGTCGTGCTGGAGACTGGGTTGTTTGTGTGGAAGCCCAGGCCCAATGGGTGAAGGAAATATACATAAATCTCACACTTGTCAGTTTTTCCATTGACCAGTTTTGACAGAGAAAATTGCCTACTTAGAGGGATTTACTGTCTAAAGAGTTTCTGTGTCTCTTCACATGTTATTATGTTCTCAAAACAACCAGTAAAGCCTACAAGGATCTATCACATGGATGGCTCTGTCCTTAATTAACACACTTCCATAAAGAGGTCATGGCAGCTGGGCACCAGTAAATTTAGCTATTCTGGAGGCTGAAATCTGAGGATCGAGGTTCAAAGCCAGCCCAGGCAGGAAGTAGAGCTGTGAGTCAAGTGGTGAAATCCTAGCCTTGAGTAAAAACAAAAACGCTAAGGGAGAGTGCAAGGCCCTGAATTCAAGCCCCAGTACCAACCACACACACACACATACACGCCACCACCACCACCACCACCACCACCACCAACAACAACAAAAACAACAACAAAAGAGGTCCTTGAATTGGATTAGGAGTGTTTGAAGCTATTGTAGCTTCTGGCTTCTGGCCATTGCTGAAGGTGGAAAAAGATTTTGTTCTGGCAGCATGAATGCGCAGTCTAATTTCTTCTTCATTCTCTTTACACAGACAGGTGTTTTTTTAAATTGTTCTTCAACTACTAATAGATTCAGGTGAGTACTACCAGGCTAAGATTATGTGGAAGAGGGCTGGGAAGGTGGCTCAGTGATAGAGTGTTTGCCTCACATGCATGAGGCGCTGGGTTTGGTTCCCCAGCACCACATAAACAGAAAAAAGCCAGAAGTGGTGCTGTGGCTCAAGTGGTAGAGTGCTAGCCTTGAGCTGAAGAGCTGAGGGACAGTGCCCTGACTCAGAGTTCAGGCCCCATGACCAACAACAACAACAAAGATTATGTGGAAGAATTTCAGAAAACCTCTCAGTTTCAGGGCTTACTTGTATGTATAGTCACAAATTCCCACCGCTGTCCTCTCATTCTCCTTGGACCAGTCATTTAAGGGCCACTGCTGGCCAGAAGGCAGATACAGTGCTGAACTAGAATAGCCAGGTGAATGGAGACCCACAGCTTCCACTGTGCTTCTAGGCCCTGCATCCTTTCCAGGAGATGCTCTGGTCCTGGGCATTGTCCTCCTCGGCCTATCTCTGTGCTCACCTTCTCCAAATCCAGCCTGGTTGCTCCCACAGAAATCTGTGTGCTGGGCCATCACTCGGAGTGTGATGAGCTGTTCGCAGTGTGGACAGCGTTCTCTCCGGCTGCCACAGTGGGTCTCATGGATCTCCAGCTTGCTGAGCCGCACAGAAAGCTCACAGAACTTGCATTTAATGGGGTCTTCCTCTTGTTCCTTGGTCTGTGGGAGGAAGCAGGGTCAGAATGACTGGCTTCTTGGATTGTGGGTAGATTGGGGACATTAGCCATGATTCCTGGGGAAGTGAAGCCAATCAGAGAAAGTGATGGCCAAGGAATACAAACTCTCTTGGCTTCATGTACCAGAGAAAGCCCTTCTATTCAGTATCGGGGGTAAGGGGCCTGTGTCATTGAGGTGGGCTGGCTCTCCAATGCACCCTGAGCCTACTCAGGGGGGAAGGGTAGTCAGAGGATATCTTAGTGTGTGGTCCAGTACTGGGGCTTGAACTCAGAGCCTTAAACCCTTACTTGGCTTTTTTACTGGTGCTCTACCACTTGAGCTATAACTCTACTTTTGGCTTTTGCTGGTTATTTGGATATAAGAGTCTCATGGACTTTCCTGCTCAGGTTAGATTCAGAAACTGATCCTCAGTCTTAGCCTTGTAAGCAGCTAGAATTACAGGCATGCACCACCAGAACCTGGTGAGAGGACATCTTTATTATTGGTCTTGCCTACCTTCTCCCTCTCCTTTGTCTGGGTTGGCCTGCTTGTGGGTTATAGAGAGGAAATGGTACCTGACTCTTATGCAATTCTAACAAGGGTCTCTCTGCACTTTCAGCTAACACACACACACACACACACACACACACACACACAGAACATGCTGCAGCCTGCACCATGCCTTCCCATATCTATCCTGGCTCAGGGACCTTGCTGGACCTGTGATTTCCTAGACCAGGGTTGGCCACCTTCTGTTTCCCTCCATCGCTCAGCTTAGTGCTCAAGAAGGGTTTGCTGGGTCAGTTTAAGTTAAAACCAACACTTGAACTCAAGATTTCCAGAAAGAAATCCAAGAGGCACCAAGAGGGACTGATGTGTTTAAAAAAAAAAAAAAAAAAAAAAAAGCTCATCTTCTAGAGTCTTTAATTCATGCTGTTGCTCTTCCAAAATCTCAAACTCCATTCCACATTTTCTACAGCTTGAGCTATTTGTCTGGCCAGACTCACAAGCCTGCAGGGAAAGACTGCCAAAAGGGAAACTGAGAGCAGATTCAGTTTACTACCAAAAAAAAAAGTCAGGATTATGTTTCCTTTTCCCAGACAGTGGGTGTGGAGGGGTTACATGGCTTCTGGGGTGGGATGGGGGGCAGGGAAGGACTGTCTTCCAGCTTCTGAGCCTTAGCCCCTTCCTGAAGCTGCTTACCTGCTGGTGCTCATTCTGTTGATGCTCTTGAAACTTTTCCTTTGGGACAGGCTCCTCACACTCTGGGCAAAGGACCAGGAACCGCAGGCAGTGGGCCTCATGGAGGGTGAAGTGGGCAGAGGCCACACTTCTTTTGCTAAGGATCAAGGAAAGAAAAAGGCTAGGCTTAGTGTCCTGGTATAAACACAGAACCCCATTTCACACCCAGGCCTTGAGCACTGAAATAGGATAATGGAGACACCACTTGCTCTGCCTTTCTTATCTTGGTCTAGAACCAGGACAATGCTTTTTTTCCCTGATGGTATATAACATCTCAAAATGTGCCAACTGGCACTATAAGATGTACAGTTTAAGGCCAAGTGCCATGGCTTGCAGTCCTAGCTACTCAGGAGGCTGAGATCTGAGGGATCACAGTTCCAAGACAGACCTGGCAGGGAAGTCTATGAGATTTCTATCTCCAATTAACAACCAAAAGCCAGAAGTGAAGCTGTAGATCAAGTAGTAGGGTACCAGCTTTGAGCTTGAAAAAGGGGCAGTGCCCAGGCCCTGAGGTTTTATTATTATTATTTTTATTTTTACTATGCCCCTCCCTTAGCCTTGTCATTCAAGCCTGGCACTCTAGCTCTTAAGCCACAGTTTCACTTCTGGCTCTTTGGTGGTTAACTGAAGATAACAGTCTCAAGAAACTTCCTGGGGCTGGGAAGGTGGCTCAGTGGGAGAGTGCTTGCCTTGCAGGCATGAAGCCCTGGGTTTGATTCCTCAGCACCATATAAGCAGAAAAAGCCATAAGTGGCGCTGTGGCTCAAGTGGTAGAGTTCTAGCCTTGAGCTGAAGAGCTGAGGGACAGCACCCAGGCCCAGAGTTCAAGTCCCATGACCAACACAGAAAAAAAAAAAAAAGGGTCTGGGAAGGTGGCTCAGTGGTAGAGCACTTGCCTTGCATGCCAGAGGCCCTGGGTTCGATTCCTCAGCACCACATAAGCAAAAAGAAAAAAGCCGGAAGTGGTGCTGTGGCTCAAGTGGTAGAGCGCTAGCCTTGAGCTGAAGAGCTGAGGGACAGTGCCCAGGCCCAGAGTTCAGGCCCCACGACCGGACCCAAAAAAAAAAAAAGAACCATCCTGCCTAGGCTGGCTTTGAACAGCAATTTTCAGATCTCAGCCTGTTGAGTAGTGATCCACCAACACTGGGCACTTTTTTTTCCTTTTATTTTTATTTTTGCCAGTCTTGGGGCTTGAACTCAGGGCCTGGGCACTGTCCCTGAGCTTGCTTCATTTGCTCAAGGCTAACACTTTACCACTTGAGCCACAGCGCCACTTCTAGCCTTTTCTGTTTATGTGGCACTGAGAAGTTGAACCCACGGTTTCATGCATGCTAGGCATGCACTCTACCACTAAGCCACCTTCCCAGCCTCCCCCCCACACACACTTTTTTTTGGGGGGGGGGTGGTCCAGTCATGGGGCCTGAACTCTGAGCCTAGGCGCTGTCCCTCAGCTCTTCAGCTCAAGGCTAGCGCTCTACCACTTGAGCCACAGCACCACTTCTGGCTTTTTTCATTTTGCTTATGTGGTGCTGAGGAATCGAACCCAGGGCCTCATGCATGCAAGGCAAGCGCTCTACCACTGAGCCACCTTCCCAGCCCCCCCCCCCCCTCCCCACACACACACTTTTAAAAACAAATTCTAACTGTCTGTATCATCAGGAAATGTTTCCTTTCTTCATCAACTCTTGCTGGTGGCAACTGTGTGGGGGAAAAAGAAATATAGAGGCCATAGCCCTACAGGCCTGGATGTTCAGGCCCTAACCTGAGATGAGGCCAGAGAAAAACCATTTGAACTGCACTGCTCTGCATCTACACCAGCTCTCTTAACACATACCACACACACAAGTGGCCTTACCACCATCCCTATCTGTTCTTCCTCTGCTCTATCTGGCTTGTTCCTTCTCTACTCTGAGCTTGTTCTAGTCCTGAGATCTAGAGAAGTCCTGTTGGAGCAAAGTTGTGCAGTGGAGATGTTCCAGAGTGAAGTCCCTCTCTGGGCCAGCTCCTTTCGCTTACTGACATGGTCCTGATCCCCACCATTGTCTGCCAGCCCCACCTCCCGGCCCCCTGAGTATAGGGATGGCTCAGGAGAACCTGTGGGCGCTTTGCTTTCACATATCAGTGTGTGAGGACTTAGCATTTATAATCCCTGAGAAGAAAGAGCAGACCAGTAGGCTATTGCCCTTGAAGTGCAGTGAAATTGAGGCAGCTCTAGCTTTCACCTAGCTGCCAGGATCCCCCGGTCCCCACCTGCCTGCACTCTTGGGGGCACCTGCACGAGAACCACACACTTGCTCCTCGCTTTCTCTCTCCAGGCAGCCTGGGCCAGCTGCTCTAGAGTGGCCTCTTACCAATTCCCGCAAAGCTGGAAGCCATCCTCCATGGTGCGATTCTGTGCCTGTCACCCGGTCGCTCTGTGCTCTCTGTTGAGTTTCGTTTCTCTCCAGGAAAGACAAGAAAACAAAACAAAACTGAAAGTGTGGGGCAGTGCCAGCTGCTCTGGGAGGAGGGGGGGCGGGAACCTTAAGAATTCCCAGCTCATTTTTTAAGTTCTGTGTTGATTTCCTTTTTCAAGATTTTAAGGTTTTCCTCATAGAGGTCCTTCACTTCTTTAGTTAAGTTAATTCCTAGATATTTTATTTTTTGTGGGGCTATTACAAATGGAGTTGCTTTCCTAATTTCAGCCACACTTTTCTCATTGTTGGCATACAGAAAAGCCATTGATTTTTGGGGGTTAATTTTATAACCTGCTACTTTGCCAAAGTTTTGAATCAGCTTGAGTAATTTGGGAGTGGAGTCTATGGGATGCTTTAAATACAAGATCATGTCATCTGCAAAGAGGGAGAGTTTTATTTCTTCTCCATGCTCCTGGATTGGAAAGATTAACATCGTGAAAATGGCAATACTTCCCAAGGCTAGCTACAAATTCAACGCAATACCTATCAAAATTCCACCCTCATTCTTCAAGGAAATAGAAGAGGCAATCCAAAAATTCATATGGAACAATAAAAGACCCCGAATAGCAAAAACGCTCCTCAACGGAAAGAACACTGCTGGAGGAATATCAATACCAAATTTCAAACTCTACTATAAAGCCATAGTAATCAAAACAGCTTGGTATTGGCATAAGAACAGACCTCAGGACCAATGGAATAGAATTGAAAACCCAGAAATGAACCCACAGACCTATAGCCATCTAATCTTCGATAAGGGAGCTAAAACAATAGAATGGAAGACAGACAGCCTCTTCAGTAAATGGTGCTGGCAAAACTGGTTAACTACATGTAGAAAACTAAAGCTAGATCCTTATATATCACCCTGCACCAGAATCAACTCCAAATGGATCAAAGACCTTGAACTCAAAGCAGACACTCTGAAAACATTACAGGATGGAATAGGAGAAACCCTGGGTCTTCTTGGCTCAGGCCGAAATTTTCTGAATAGAGACCCGGAAACACAACAAATCAAAGAAAGGTTGGACAAATGGGATTGCATAAGGTTGCAGAGCTTCTGCAGGGCAAATGACATAGCTAGCAAGATCAATAGAAAGCCCACGGATTGGGAGAAGATCTTTACTAGCCATACAATGGACAAGGGTCTCATATCTAAAATATACTTGGAACTCAAAAAATTAAACCACCCAACAACAAATCCTCAAAGAAACAACTGCCCAATAAGTAAGTGGGCGAAAGACTTAAAGAGAAGCTTCTCTGAAGAAGAAAGAAGGATGGCCAATAGACACATGAAGAAATGTTCAACATCCCTAGCCATAAAAGAAATGCAAATCAAAACAACATTGAGATATCACCTCACTCCAGTTAGAACAGCAAAAATCAAGAACTCTAACAACAACAGATGCTGGAGAGGATGTGGACAGAAAGGAACCTTACTTCATTGTTGGTGGGAATGTAAACTTGTTCAACCACTTTGGAAAGCAGTATGGAGGTTCCTCAAAAGACTTCACATAGAACTCCCCTATGACCCAGCAATCCCACTTTTGGGCATTTACCCTAATGTTTACAAAAAAGACCACATTAAAGCTACCAGCACAACTATGTTTATTGCAGCATTATTTACCATAGCTAAGATATGGAACCAACCCAGATGCCCCTCAGTAGATGAATGGATCAAGAAAATGTGGTATATATACACAATGGAATTCTATGCCTCCATCAGAAAGAATGACATTTCCCCATTTGTTAGGAAATGGAAAGGCTTGGAAAAAATTATATTAAGTGAAGTAAGCCAGGCCCAAAGAAACATAGGTCCCATGGTTTCCCTTATTTGCAATATCTAGTATAGGTATGAGTCAAGCGGAAAAAGTCAGAGAATGTGATGTTAGGAAAACGAGCCCTCAAATATGTATTTTAATGTTTTTGTTTCTTTCATGCATGTGTTTCTAACGCATTTATAAGATTATTTCTTTGTTGCTTTGTATGTCCCTCCCCCACAGTGTAACCCCCACTTTCACTATATTTGATGTCAGTATAACATGTGGAGGAGACGGGGACAAACAAGTCGTTTAAGGATTCAGGTGGACCTGTTGTAACAATGAGAAGTACAAAATGTCATGTCAAAACCAGCTTTACAATGTCGGTGGGGGGGAGGGGGGTATGATTGGGTGGGGGGGAGGGGGGAGGCTGGGAAGGGAGGTGAAGGGTAAACAAAGGAGGAGGCTGCAATGCTTGGTAAGAAATGTATGTATTATCCTGCCCATGTAATTGTAACCCCTCTGTACAGTATGTTCTCAAATAAAATAAAAAAAAAAAAAAAGAATTCCCAGCTCAGGTTATCCCCAACTTCCTGTGGCCAGACACTCCCAGAAAGCCCCTCTGAAGCTCAGCCGGCCCTGTCCTCTCAATCCTGGCTGTCCCTCCCCCTACCCCCCCTCCCCCTTCCTGACAGGCTGTTCTTGCAGCCTGGAGGATGGGGGTCCGAGGCTAGGCCTCCCCAGTGCAGCAACTTTCCCCTTCTGGTTCTTTTCCCAGCCATCTATTCCCTTACTCTCCCGTTTCTCTCTTCCAACTTGCCACATGGAATGAGGGGTGCTCCTTGCAAAAACACCTGGCTTATTAGTACCCTGCTATACCTCAGTTGGTAATTTGGAAGAGCATCTACCCTGCACCTTTAGCTCATGCCTTGCACCTGTGGCTCATCCTAGCTACTCAGCAAGCTGAGATCTGAGGATTGCAATTCGAAGCCAATCTGGGCAGCAAAGTCTGTGAGACTCTTATTTCCAATTAATTACCAAAAAGGCAGAAGTGGAGCGGTGGCTCAAGTGGTAGAGTGCCAGCTTGTGTGAAAAGGCTCAAGTCCCAAGTACAAGCCCTAGGACCAACACACACACACACACACACACACACACATCTTAAAGAAATATTTGTGTGATCTCTTCAGGGTAGAAAGAGGTCCTAAACTGGTATTGATGGTTCATGCTTGTCATCCTAGCTACTCAGAAAACTGGGATCCAATGATTGAGGTTTGAAGCTAGCCAGGGCAGAAAATTCCATGAGACTCTTATCTTTAATTAACCAGCAAAAAAGTGGGAAGCAGAGGTATGGCTCAAGTGGTAAGAGCAACAGCTTTGAGCAATAAAGCCAAGCAAAAGCACAAAGCTCTAAGTTCAAGCCCTAGTACCAGTGTGTGGGTGTGTGTGTGTGCACGCACGCATGCTTGCGCACATGTGCATGTATATACATACACTTTATATAAAGGAGTCCCCTTAAAACAATTGCAACAATTTTTGTGGTTGCAGTTCACACAAATAGGCCCACAAGAAAGTAGGAGGAGCCAGGTGCTGGTGGCTCACACCTGTAATCCTAGCTACTCAGGAGGCTGAGATCTGAGGATCATGATTCAAAGTCAGCCTAGGCAACAAAGTTCGTGAGACTCTTATTTCCAATAAACCACCAGAAAACCAGAAGTGGCACTGTGGCTCAAGTGGTAGAGTGCTGGCCTTAAGCTGAAGAGCTGAGGGACAGTGCCCAGGCCCAGAGTTCAAGCCCCACAACTGACAGGGAAAAAAAAGAAAGAAAGAAAGAAAGTAGGAGGAGCCACCAAGTAAGCAAACTACTAGGAAGTGAGGAAGCAAGCACTGGGGGCTCATGCCTATAATTCTAGTTACTCAGGAGACTGAGATCTGAAGATCCCAGTTTGAAGCCAGCTTGGGCAGGAAAGTTCCTGGGACTCTTACTTTCAACTGACCACCCAAAAGCCACAAGTGGAGCTGTGGCTCAAGTGGTAGAGTGCTAGCCTTGTTCAAAAAAAAGCAAAGGAACAGTGTTGGCCCTGAATTCAAGCCCCAGTATTGGTGCGTGTGTCACGTGTGCTTATGCACACACACACACACACACACACAAAGTGAAATTTCCTACAAGATTCAGGTGTTTTCTGTAAGTCAGAGGTGTTGCCTACAGGACTTAGGTGCCTTCTATTCCCACCCTCAGGATCACAGAGGACCAGACCCATGCAGCCTGACATTTTAAGATTTTATGTAGTTGCTAGGCTCCAAGATTCACCCCTGCAATTCTAGTTATCCAGGAGGCTGAGAACTGAGGACTGAGGTTTGAAGAATGGTAGAGTAGACAACCCCAAGAGTCTCTTATCTCCAATTTGCCAGTAAAAAGCCAAAAGTAGAGGCATGGTTCACGTGGTAGAGTGCCAGCCTTGAGCAAAAAAGGATGTAAGGACCTGAGTTCAAGCCTCAGTACTGTTAAGCACCCCCCTGCCCCAAATGGGACAATGAGGTCAATTTGTTCAAGGTTGTATAGTTCATTTCAGACCTGGGATTCAAATTTGGTTAACCTAACCCGTTTGGCAGCTGGTGGAGAGAGAAGCACTGGGTCATGAGTCAGAGACTGTAGTTGGTCTCCTGATCCCCTTCCTCATCAGTCCAACAAGGTACTAAGTCCCTAAGACCTTGGTTCTCCACTCCTTTCTCTGGGCCATCTGTGAATGTTCATACTAATGAAAAATGAAGAATATTCACAATCATGTCCTTCTGAGATGCCCAGAGTTGGTAGTGGTTCTGGTAAAGATGTAAAATTGAGCTGGAGATGTGGTTCAAATGGTAGAGCACCAGCTGAGTGATTATGAGGGGGATGAGGGGGAGAAAAAGTGGGGGAGAGAGGGAGAGAAAAATTAGCATGCATAAGAGGGACTGCCTAGCCAGGCGCCAGTGGCTCACGCCTGTAATTCTAGCTACTCAGGAGGCTGAGATCTGAGGATCACGGTTCAAAGTCAGCCCAGGCAGAAAATTCTGAGAGATTCTCTAACTAACCACCAAAATGTCAGAAGTGAAGTGGTGGCTCAAGTGGCCAGCCTTGAGCATAAAAGCTAAGGGACAGTGCCTCAATCCTTAGTCCAAACTCCCAGCCAAAAATCATCAAATCAAGCCATTTTTCAAGACCAAGCGCTCTTCCTGATCTAGAATCGCTT